CAAATTAACTCTCATCAAACGAGGGATCAGATAAAGACACTCCACTTTGGGGGGTCTTATGGTACTTGAGTTCTCTAGGATTAAGTTGTGGTGCGATGGGAGCTGTTTGCAGGAAGGGAAGGGGGGATGAGGAGGGAGCTGCTAGCTGGAGTTTGCCCAGCCTGAGCTGGAGTGGGGCTGAATGGATTGAAACCCCAGCCAGCAACTCATTCTTCCTCCCTTCCTACAGACAGCCCTGGATCGTCCTGGAGGAGAAAGGTGGCTCTTCAGCTGCAGGCAGGCAGGCAGGCTTCTCAGGCTCCTGCAGGCAGGTGCAATCCTCACCCCCTCCTCCCTGCCCTGACACAACAGGCAAACGTCTGTTGGGTTGCAGTTGGGGGGAAGAGGTGGGGAGGCACTGTAACTCATGGCACTTTATGTAAAGCACCATGAGTTACAGCAGGGGCCTGTGCATCTGTCATCACCTTTTGTGACTTCTTGTAGTTTTCCTTAAAGTATTTTTACTCCCTGTGGGGCTCAGAGTATACCATTTATAGCATGGTGCTGTTAAACTATCAGAAACCTATACCAGAAAACCCAGTCCAGGTTCGCCTCCCTCGATATTTTACTCCAGGGCTTCTGCTTCCAATAAGCTATTCATATGGAAAGAGTTTTCTTTTTTTCTCCCAAGAAACTTGATTGGCAGGTAGTGTCCAGCCCTGCTGCTTCTTCCCTGGGTATCTTTGAAGGGAGGAAGCTAAGTTAGAGTTAATCCCCTGTTTTCCAAAAACCAAGTAATGCTTCTGGACCCTGTCAGAGCTAGAAAATGCCCTTGACCATCATGTAGAACTCTGTCTTACCAGTAGAGATTCTACACTCAGCTTCAAAGCCATATGTGTTGTTTACCCACAAAGTATAGTATTTCAAGTTAAATTTTACATTTATTGGCTTCCATCAGTTTGTGTTATATTGTGAACATGGTATCATTCATGAAATTATTGGCCGTGTGTAGACAAAATGAGGGGCATGTGTGCATGGCACTGTAACGTGGGTTAAATGCTTTTGCACCGCTTTAATGGTGTTAGTGTTTGCACTCCTGGGCAGCATATTGTGCATTAATTCCAGCCGCTGTAGGAAATTTGGTGGTATAATGTGCCTTAGATGACTTGGGGTGTTTTAGTTTGCCTTAGATGATTCGAGGAGTTTTAGTTTGCTGCCCCTAGAGCTATGGAGCAAGGCACCAGGCTCCATGCAGCTCAAGGGCTCTGTAGGCAGCCCGGCAGCAGCCCAGGAAAGCAGGCTCTGCCCAAGAAAAGCGGTGAGCCTGATCTCCTCCCCTCCACACCCCACTCTGCCTGGAGCCTGCCTGAGCTGCGCAAGGGTCCAGTGCTTCCCTCCACAGCTCTGGTGCCCCCCAGGACCACCCAAGCCAGATGCCTGTGGGTGGGTGCTGCCTTGGGGGGCCACTGCTGCCACAAAGGGAAGCAGCCCCCTTCCCCCCCAACCTCTCCGCCCACTGGCAGCTTGCCCTCCCCCCACCACCAGAGAGGCAGGTAAGTCAGTGGGGTGTGTGCACGACACGGGGGTTTAATCATCCCTGAATTGAAGCAGTGTTTTTTAAAACCCACCACCTCAATTTAGGGCCCCCGTTTCATCTAAGCACGGCCTATTTGAGTGTAGGCTATTAAGTCTCATTAGTTCTTTTCTCAGTTAAAAAAAAAAAAAAAATTCTTCCTTTCTCTTTCCTCAAAGATTTCTGACTCACTGATAATAAAGCATGTATTTTTGCTTTCATTTCCCCCTACCTAGAAACGTTTTGTAATCATTTAGCATATTACAAATACCAGCATGTAGTCCCAGACTGCATATCAAAGGTAATTACATCTTGGGGGTTTCTTGGTATTCATAAACTGCATAAGCTACCTTCCTACTGGTTGTGATTTCAGCAGAACTTCATGATTACATTGCAGCATAGTGATCAGTCTGGGACAACTTATTACAGGATAATTATATTTCCCTACCTCACAGAGGTGGTGTGAGACCTAGTTCACTAATACTCATAAAGTGCTTTGAGATCCCTGCATAGAAAAAGTCCATAGAAGTGCTTATAATTATTACTGTTGCATATATAGCCAGAGGTCAATCCCTTTGATATTAATAAAGTTGTCTAAAAATTAGGAGGAAATGCACCCTCCCTCCCCCCCTCAAAAAAAAGGATAGAGAAGAAAATGGATTTTTTTCCTCATGGTAAAGTGTGAAGAGTAAAACATCACAGTAAATGTATGTAAATTACATAAAAGATGAAGTCTTGAGGAAGGTATAATAGAATCAAAAGCTGCCAAAAGGCTTTTCAAACTGGTAAGTGTGACTGCCTGGCATAGAAGTGATTTGCATAACTTTCCCATGATTCTCTATAGCCACATTTTTCAAAAGAAAGGAAGCTTGCTTTTTGCAGTCACATAACCTAAGGGTGTCTTTTCTCTTGACATTGTATTGACATTGTGGTTGGGTAAAACAACATTTCATAATGGATGAGCTATAAGAAGGGTAAAAACAGTAAAGCATGTCCTTGTGCTTTATCCTTTATATATATTAAATTTTGAAAAAGTAAGTTTTGTTTCAGCTCCAACCTTTTCCATTTTCAGTAAATTTCAGGATCTTGCACATATTTTATCCTTGTTGTTGTAAACTTCTTTTTGTTTTGTCTTATACCAGTTCTATTTATGTTAGCCTTTCTGGGCTCCATTTTTTTTTCATTTACTAGTTTCAAAGAGAGTGTGGCTTCAGTGGGTTTGTGCTTGGATGCAAGGATCTATCCTCATGGATTCAGTTGCAGTCTAGGGACATCACTGAGGAGCATTTTTCTACTTGAACAACCCAGCTAGGATTTTCATTTCTTCTGGATAAAAAGCCAAGAGGACAAGATGAAGTGTTTATTATTTTATTCGGTCAAATTCTTTCCTCACATGAGCTCAATCTGAAAGTAGCTCAGATTGAGGCTATAAACAAATTTACCTTTTGATTGCTTTAAAAGAGGAGGGAGAGCTGACATTCTGAAATGGGCATCAGCTGCTACATCTGCATGTTCCTGTAGTCATAAGAGTTTGCTGAAACCCCATGGATCAGGCACAGCTAGTGTTGCAATGGTTTTGCTACGTTTATATGGCCACAGAAGCATACAGATATAAAAGGTACATTTGAATAGATTTATCCGTAGCATTTGATAATGATGCAACTGTCACATCTGTTTGTACCCTGAGTTCAAGGGGCATGGTACAAACAATGGGATACAAGTTAGTGTAATGCTAGTGAGAATTACTGTCCAAGATCCAAAGAGTTGTTACAATAATATGTAGTGTATTTACTCAAATATAAGATGAGGTTTTCCCCCTGATCAGCATGGGGAAAAAAGCTCTTCATCTTAACATTTGTGTACAAGGAAATCTCATTAAATACAATGTCTATCATTAAACTCCTGCAAAAGCAGCATGTTCTCAGTAATAAAAATCAACTATGGAGCTGATTAAATGTAGCCAACACTGAGCATAACTATAAAACACATAGTCCATACTGGGTAAACATATTGATGGGGATTTACCACAAAGATAGGTTTGTACAGCCTATCTGAATAAGATATATGGTAGTACCCATTGATTGCAGTCCTCCTCAATGCTAACTCTCTTTCAAGTCATGGTGAGCCACTACATTGTATACATTTCAACTTCCCCCTCAGTCTCACAGCTGAGCTGGGTCTTTTCCATTTCCAGCAGCCTTATATGTCTGACAAACATCATCAAACAGGGCCCCAAACAGTTCATCCAAAATCCTTCTGTCACCCACTCTCTCATCCTGTAGCATATGATTAGTGAGGCCCTTTTCTTCATGAGGTTGAGTTGGACTAGGTAGCCCAACATATACATTTTTGGAGGATCCCAGGACTCATAACAAAAACACCTGGTTCCAGTCATGATGGTGGGGGCTAATTGCATGTGGATCCTTTTTGGGGATATCTGGAGTTCATGGACATACTGAACAGTGCTGAGCTATGGCTTGAAACACTGTTGACTCTGCTGTGGCCCAGTCCAGTAAACTATATGGTAAATCATGAGGCCTTTAACTTTGGACTTATATCATGCATAGTTTGTACTGTATATAAGTAGGTACAAAACTGCCGCTTAAAAGTGGGGTTCTGGAGTAGCCATGGTAAAACTTGCAGCAGTTTCAAAAAAGGTGAAATGCATCAATTTTGGATTAATTAAGTGTATGGGTACCCATAGTTGTTTGACTAAATGCAAATTTGCCTAAATGCAAATTGCTACAGGCGTGTTTATTTCAAAGTCAGTATGCTCAAGAAAAGCAGTCTGACAGTAATGGGGGTCCCGTAATTTCCCCAGTAATGGGGGCAATAATTGGTGGGGGGAGGGGGATGGAGGGCAAGGGGCCACCTGATTATTCCAGATTTATTTTCTTAGCTGTATCAGTGGGAGGGGGACAAATTCAAGGCAAACCTCCAATAGTTAGATTCTATACCTGGAAAATTCTAACAAATTTATACATTTTCCATATGTAGAATCTAATTTTGGAGGTCATCTTATATTCGAGTAAATACAGTATCTGTTAACAAATTGTACTGTCAAGTGGGATTATTCCAATGAAAGACTGATCACAGGAGAGTCTTTGGTGATTTGGATATCAGAATAAAAATCTACATTGTGCCCTGCATGACACAGGGAAAAAAAAAGCCAAAATGTTGTTCTTTTCTGATCCTGGAAAGATTAGTGCCAATTAATGCTACTTGAAAGACTTCAATCTTACTGAAAATAAAAAGAAAGACAGAAGAAAAAAGCAAGTGTGAAATATGTATTAATATTTAATCCAAACAATTTGGAAGAACTTGAAGCTACAATTATATAGTGATGCCCATCTGTTGTGAACAGCAGAATGACAATTCATTTAATAACTTGGAGAGAGAGAGGGGGCTGCCAATCACCTATAGATTTATTCCTTAATAAAGTGTGTACAGTCTCTACAGAGGGAGATCCAGATGGTAAAGGAAACTCTGCAGGCCATGCTGGTGCAGCTCCAGCCAGCTAAGGAGGCAGGAGAAGATGAAGCTAGAGACTTCCTCTATGACAGCTGGTGTCCAGGAAAACAAGACTTACAGGAATAATAGGGAGGGGGCTGGTGCTATAACATTAATTCACAAAGGACTGCTTTCAGTAACTGGATACTGTCTCACCAAGCCTTGAGGATCTCTTCTCTCCCTGCATAACTAATAACAACTAAATCAATTATGGAGAAACAGAGCCTGGAGGTCTATCAACAGAAGTATTCTACACTGCTTCACATGCTCTGGCACAGATTGGAAAACAGCTTTCAGAGCAGAGCAACTCCTGTAAATGTGTAGATTACAAATTGATATGGTTCAAAGGATTCTGTGGAGTTTGTCTCATAGTCGGTGAGATTTTTCTAGTAGTTTCCTTCCTTGCTCACGTGGTCTCTAAAACAGTGATTGTCAACCAGTGTGCCTGGGGTACTCTACGGTGCTGTGACATCTTTTGAAGGGGTGCCATGAGGTATGAAAAAATAAGCAGGAGCAAAGCAATAAGTAGAGGCTCAGACTGCTTGGCCCCTCTCTTGCCCCCACAGCCTAGTCCCTCTGTAAGGAGGTAAGCACTGTCATAAATACATTTGTTTTTTAAATGGGTTGCTGTCCATGTCACACAAAATTATGGAGGGGGTGCCCTGAGTCAAACACAGGGTGCCTTAAGTCTAAAAAGGTTGAGAACCAGTGCTCTAAAATACACATTTTTTTCTGCTTCAAAATGTAACCTTAGAACTTATCTCTTCAGTATTGCTGAAAGAGGGCTGGGAGGGAATAAGGTGGGTTTTTTTGCTTATTTTCTTCCTAACATCTTCCTTATCCCAACTTACTAGTTTTCTGACTACTACAAAAATATGAGACCACTAGGCTAGAATTCAGGAGAATAACCAAATTCTTCTATATTAAATTAGGACTGCATTTTCCCAGTGGCACTCTGAATAGCAGAGATAATTAACAGCAGACTACAGAATAATGGCTTTTTGACTGTTTTCATTTGCAGCTTCTGTAATATTATAGGAAATGCATATTAATACCCAAAGCACAAAACATTCTTGGTAATGACCTGATGATTTGTGGCTTTTTTATTTAAATAGTATATGGAATTATTTTTTTTTCAAGAAAAGTTTTAAATAGAATTACACTTACTTCTTTGATCTTCCTTAAAAATGTCATAAAACAAAGAGGTTTTTTTGCAAAGGAATTTTATATGTAATTTTATATGTATTCTTGTTTGATAAAGTTGTGTCATCAGTTTAATATCTTTGATACAGAAAATGACAGGATTTTTTAATGGAAACCAACTAAATATGAAAGTGTTCAAACAGCGAGTATTCATAAATCTAAGCATTTTTATTTGGATACTAAGATACATTGAGTTTATCACATTTTTAAAAGAACTTTTGCTTCTGCAATTTGTTGCAGAGACTGTGAGGGAGAAGATTTATTTAAAAACGAAAGCAGCTCTTTTAAAAAACTGGTTAATTCAATCTTTAAATCACTAGATTGAGCCAACCACAACAGTCTATTGTACCTCATTTTTTAAACTATTAAAAATAGACTTTTTCTTAAAACAATCTTTCCTGTTTATACATTTTGAGATACTGGTTCCACACCTATAGCATGAAGGCTACTCAGATAATAGCCCCGGTATTGCTCACCATTTAGTCCTACAAAATTGTCTTCATTCGTGCTTTGTTTACTTAAATACTAGAGTTAGAAATTCTACCTCAAAACTGTAAAATTTACAGAGAGGAAATAAATGCCAGGCAGCTGTGACTTACAGCAGGGTTATATATAATTCCAACTAGGGATGTAAGGATGTCAAACCATGAGAGAAAAGCTCAGTTGGTTTATGTAGTCATCATATCCTCGGGATGGAATTACAGCCCTGTAATTCAGAACATGGCTGGCTTTTTATCTTTGTACAATACATGGATCAGTGTCCATGTTGTGGCTGAGTGTCCTGGATCCGTGCCTTGCATGGGCTGCAATTCTTCCATCTCCCACTATATACTTTCTCTTCCCCTTCTGCAGCCTCCTTTGGAGAGCTCATGCTGCTGCCTCTTCAATCCCTACCTACTCACACTCTCTCTGCTTCCCTAGAGAGTTTTTACATACTTTCCCCCCCACTTTTCACTTTCTGCAAATTCCCATGAAGTGGATGGACAAGTCATTAGTCACTAGCTGTAGATGGTGTGCAAGCTGTATCCTGCCATTCTTCTGCAAGAGGATGACATTCATTCCTGTGCACGTGGCTCGCTCAAGGCCTGGGTACCCTTTACATTCCAGTTAATCCAGGCAGGCAGGAGGGAGGATACTGTGACTTGTTCTGCACAGGGATACATTTCAGCCAGAGAGCTCACACTGGAATCAGTGCAAGTTCCCAGTAAAAACTGAGGGTAGAATATGGCTGTAAGAGTCTTAAAACGGTTAGCCAAGCCAAGTGCTTTGGAAATATTACTATTGTGCCTATATTGGGGTTAATATAAATTGGGCAAAACGCACTAGACTACCACCACAGAGGAGCAGATTGTGAACTCCCCATTCACTTAAGCAAGTGGTTGTGCATGTGACTAGTCCCACTGGGAGCATGCAGAGTCTTGTCCTTGTTGACTATGCAATGTGTGACACAAATGAAGTCCACACTGGCCCCACTCATGAATCACAAAGCACAATATGAATTGCATGGATGGGGATACTTTGCAATAGTCAAAGTCATGGCACTTTTCTTCCAGTGACTCTCAAGATTTGAGAACTGGGGACAGTTAATCCTCAGATGTTTTCTTTGGCACTTTCTAGGCAGTATGAGTTCTTGAGAAAATTCCAATTTGATTGAAACCTTTCCGCCTTCATGTTTCAAAGCTTTACAATGTTGTTGCTGGGTTTTAATAATAATAAAAAAATGTGTACAACCACTGTAATAAAAACACTGAAGTCTTAGGAGAGAAGTGAAGCTGTTAGTATCCACCATTACTTTATTCCGATGTAATTTTTTTATGTTTATGTATTCACTTTTTTATTTTATATATGTGGTGGACTACTGCTTTAATTTATTATTCCATTAACTTTACTGTGTGTTATGGGGAGTTAGTCAGCTCTAACCATTCCTCTCCCAAGTCATTCTGAATAACAAGTGTAATAAAATGTCTGTCATTCACTGTACCTTGGTTGCTTTTCTTTTACTATGGAGAGGACAGTTACAAATAAAGAGAACTTTGTTTTTTGTTTTGTTTTTTTTTTAATTGCCAGGGCTGTATTTATTGTGTGTTCTGTTTACAAATGTGTTTTTTTAGCTTTCCTTCTAAGGGGGAAAGATGTTAGTGTGTGACAGCACAAGGAGGAGATGAAGGCTGTGTTAGGGGAGTTCTGAGATAACTTCCTCTGGGAACATGTTTAAAAAAACTGTTCTGCTTGATGCAATCTGATGCATTTCAACAGGAAAGAATCCTGATTTTCAGAAGTCTCTATGAGTGAATGGGTAAGTAAGGGTGTGATAACTGGGGCCTTATGGGTAGCATGGCCTGTCGGGTATGTAGCCCCTCCCCTTGGCTCACCTGCCACGAATTTGCTGTTAAGCTATCAAGGGAGGGGGTTCAGTGGAGATCTTCACAAGGGGGCTTCCCAACAACAGCTGTACTCACGGTTGCTTGGTGTGATATTCCACAGGGCTCCTCCTCCCCTACACCCCATCCACTCACCAAATGGTTATGTGATGGTACAATGTTGGTTTTGGCCTCGTGGACTTGCCTGCGGTCTGCTTCGGGTGGAGGGGAGAGCACACGGCTGAAAGGGCTCAGTTGGCTCGTGTCCCTCCGGTCTTGGTGCCTGAACCTTCTCTCTCTATCCCTTTGACTTTCCTCCTTTTCCCTTTTTTTCTGGGGTCTTCAAAAAAAATATTCCTCTCTTCCAGGGGGTGCGACTGCTTCTCCTGGTCTGCCTTCCACAGGGAACTGCAGTGCTTCCCCTGCTCTGCCTTCTCCAGGGGGCCAAAGTGCTTCCCCTGCTCTGCCTCCAGCAGGGGACTCGAAGACTTCCCCTGCCCTGCTTACCGGTGCTGCGCCGGCTGTGCCGTGCCTCTTCCCGGTGGGAGCCTCAGCACATTGGGCGTGCTGCCCACCAACTCTCTCTCCCTCTGGCTCCTCCTCCTCCTCGCCGGTGCTGTCGGGGCTTTTAAACTTCCCTGCGGCAGCCAGTACAGCCGCCACGATTGGTCCAGCTGTTCCCCGTGTGGGGAACAGCTGCTTAAACAGCTGGCTCAACGCCGGCTCATGCAGCTGCAGCTGTGGTCCCAGCTCCTGCACCGATGGACCGGCCAGAGGTAAGTTCCCCCACAGGGGGTCTGTTTCTGGGTTTTGGGACCTACAGGGTTTGCCCTTGCCTCTTTTAGAGCCTATGGGGGCGTGTTGCAGCCACAAAGGTCATCCAGTGGTTAGAGTACTGCTATGGTATTCTAGATCTGGGTTGTTCCCCAGCCTTCCCATAGTCTTGTTGGGTGAACTCTGATGCAGATACTCAGTTTCTTTGTGCTTTAATGTGTAAAGTTATCCCCATTTTACAGTTCCATCTGTAAAATGGGGATAAGTCTTCCTCACCTCAGAGTTTTATGAAAGTGAAGTTCATTAGTGATTGTGAGGTGCCAATAGTAATTGGCTGCCTGATCGATTTCATACTTCTGCTGAGCACACTCCCAGCTCACTCCCTCATATTCTCACCTTTAGATCAGAAAGGGATTAAAGTGTATATGCAAAGTGGAATGCAGTGTGCCCAGAAGTCATCTCAGTTGGTAAATTCCTCATCACCATGGTCTCTGAGCACCAACCTCAGAGAACTTGAAAATCAGGAAGCAAAATGCAGTCACTGAGCAGAGTTCAAAGACTTTGGAAGAGTTGTTGTTCTCTGTGTTTAAGATTTGCTTTGGGAATAGAGGAAAATACAGCCTGAGGATGGTTCAGATCCAGCCTAATATTTCTATCCTCAATCAATTAGCTAATCCCTTTTCTCTAAAGCTTGACATCCCAGTCTTTTACTTTCCTATCATTACTTGTTGAATCAAGATAAGCACCTCTTTTCTGGAAGGGATGGAGAAGGCCATTATATAATGGCTACCAGATTTGCGGCAGTGCTTGAGGGAGCTTCAGGGTGGGATTAGAATAATCCTTATGTATCCTCTTAGTTTACTATCCTATTAAAAGTGAGACTGGGACCAAGAGATTTTTAGTCTCAGAGATTAACACACTACAAAGAAGCTCTAAAAAATTATGTGCACACAGATATTTTCCCTGCACTGTCAGGGAGGATAATAAAAATTTTAGGGGATAAAAAAAAAAAATCAAAGATGCTAAATATTCCTTCTGCATTTGTAAAGGAGCCAAACCAAAAGCTCTGGTAAGGCATTTCTTTTTTAAATCGCTGATTAAGCCCTAAATCTGAGCCCTGGCTAAAACGCATCTGAGATTTGTGCAAGCAAGAAGATGTCTGCATTCTTAGCATGGGCTGTATTCAGTCACACTACTGTGGACACAGGAGATAATAGGAGCAGGTCTTGGGAAAAGACACAGGTAAAGCCACTGAAAAAGCCCATGCATCATTAGGACAGTTACTCTTGCAAAAGCCTGTGAAGATGAACAACCAGCTTGTAAAAATAGTAATAAAGCAGCAGCAATACAAGACAACAAAACTCAGAAAGAGATAATAAGAAAATAATCACAGGCGCAGCTAAGAGACACATGATAGATCTTGCCAGAGAAATGGAAAATTAAAAAGACCTTTGCATAATGGCCATCCAATATCCAATGCAAAGAAAACAATCTCTGATTTATTACTATTCAGACAATGAGAGTCTGAAATGCCGAAGGGGAATCCCTTGTAATTATCTTGCCAAAGAGACATTTTAACTTTTTGGGAGCAGGCTGATAAGCTTACAATTACATTACAGGCTGATGCTAACTTCCAGCAGCTTACAATAAATTAAGAAAAAAAACCAAACTGTGGTGATGGCAGAGTTCACACGGGTTATTCTGATCACAGAGTCGTTTTTATTTCCTTCACAGCATTCTCTAAAGTCTCAGTTCTCCATAGCTGAGTCGGCAACCTTTTGTTGGCATAGGCTGGTGTTTGTGACCCAGCTGTCATGGTGGGCTGCAGGGCTCTACCCC